ACAGACAGACAGACAAAAATTTTACTGATTGCATTTTTGGCATCAGTAGCGATCCCTAACCACCCCTTGATAGTTATTTTTTAAATATATTTTATGTACAGAATTGACCTCTCTACAGATTTATTATAAGTATAGATAATTACCAACAAAAATGTAGTCTCTAGCTTTTGTTTTTTATTTTAATTGAATATTATATTAATACATTTGAATTTACTTCACAAGTACAACAGCTGGCTCTAGGAATTTTAAAAGGTATCAAGTTTTGACTGACGTAATACAAATCTATATTATTAGTATGTCATTATTATTCTATACAGACTTAAAAGTTTATCACGAGAGTCTGGACAAAAATTAATTACATTCAATGTTATCATTGGAGCATTATACTAATCTCCAAAACGAATGTAAATTATATAGAGAAATATGATTGGCACTATAATTATGCTAGTGTGTTCTGATTCATAATGTATTTTCAATGCATTTACATATTTTATCAGAGGCCTTGCTTTCGATCACAATTGTGATTAATCTGGTTTCAACAGACCTATCATCTGTCGCGCTACACTGTAAAAAGTTCAGTAACTGAACTAAAACTTCCGACAACTATAATACTATACTAGTATCGTTATTCACCAGTCTTTGTTATTATTCTTTTGTTATATGGGACGATTCCTTTACCATTTATCTTCAATCTTGGCAGGCGGGTTGAAGATATATATTATGCTGGTATAGCTTAAGAAAATAAATGTTATGGTAAAACAACTTACACAGTGATAGCAAAGTCGAAGATCTGAAGACAGAAGAAAGGAAGTAGATGGGCGGGCTTGCCGAGCGCGGCTCCGTAGATCAGCATGAATGTGATGGCCAGGGTACACACTGTAACCAGTGCACCCACATCCACATCATCTAGTACACACAGAGTTGCAAAATATTAGATCATATTATTCAGTAACCCCAATCATTACGGGTGAACAGGGGAATACAGAGACAGATTTGGCATGTGTGGGCATCATAACATATAGATTCGTGCTATGATTGAGTATTCTCAGAAAACTAAAAATTACAAAGGTGCTTGGTGGACCCGAGATGAGAGCCTTGGACAGTAATTGTTCTGTGGCCACCAGATCAACGAGATAGAAGCGCTTAAAATAGGTACTTCAGCCGTCTATTTCCGGAGATATCATAATGTAATAATTTACGTTACACATGTATGAAACAGCAATCTTTTTAATTAAATACAATGACAACATAAGATAGATAGTGTGAATGATGTGTAAAAAAATGCTAAGTTCAACAAAGATTTGATAATATTGTCCAATAGTAGGTCAAATGATTTGCGTCTTACTAAAAGAATAAGAACAGTAAACAACTACTTACACAATACGAATAATTGTATTGTTAAGCTGTTTGCTGTTAATATTTCTTAGTCATAAATATGTAGTTAACAATAATTGTATAATAATAAATCGCTGTTCGAGCACCATTACTGTTACATACAGGCACGTAGTAGGCAGGGTGGCAATTATTTACATATTTAGATTAAGTCGCGCAGCTTCGTGTTCAAGGTCACAGCTGTTGCCTAACACAATACGCAGAGATATCATAAATACATGAAATGTCACCTCTAAGCAACATTTAAATCCTACATGTACAAATTCTGATGTAAGCAATAAAAGAAAGTCGTTGGCAAACATGCCAAAATCAATACCTCTACGAGAGAACCCAAAATAGGAAATGACCTTCTTATTGCAAAACTGCAAATGCCTTTCCAGCAAGCAGGGAGGTAGGTATTATCGATTTTTTACCAACTGAGGTACAATGTCGTATCTAAAAATATCAAAAATTATACTGTCTACGACATTATATGATCACGGAGTCTGTGTCATTACTAATAGCATTAAAAATTAAAACAATAACAAGATAATAATGCGATACGAGAAAACAATTAAATGATGGCAGTGACAGACGCAATATGGGTTCAATATCCGCACGGAATAATGTGCGACCCACAAATTGTTCTGGGTATGGATGTGAATTTGTATGTTTGTAAACACATCCACGACACAGGAGAAAAGGTGTGGGGGCATAATTTAAATAAAACAAAAATGGAACTGTGTCAGAAGACGCTGGGTGGCCCTAGCCGAATAAGCTGACTCCTATCTTTCGTCACCTTGACTATAAGGTCATTCTATCACTGGTAGGCGACAAGTTTAAATTCGATACTTACGATATATGAGGCTGTGATCTCTTGGTGGTTCAACATGTTGCGGGAACGAGCTTGGTGGAGGCTCAACGTTGGAGAGAGGCGTAGGGATAGCTTCATTGCCTCGCGCTACATCACTCCAGTTCGGGACAGGGGCAGAGTCCCGCTCCAGCTCGTCAAGTAGTCGGGGATCACGCACTATAGCAGCTAGGAATCCTAACGCTATGAGGTGCAGCATCTAAAAAAAAATATTAGATAGTTTGGTATTTTGGATTCTATAAACGAGATATCCTGCATGCACCAGAGAAACAGTTTATTTATTTATTTATTTAATATGCTTCATGCACAAAATGTACAAAAAGGTGGACTTAATGCCGCAGGCAATTATTTATTTTATTTTTAGTTTATTGCCAGGAGCCAGGCAATTTTCCAGATTAAATACTTTTATTGACATTGATTTAATAATACCCAGGAATCAAAACCGATTCAGTATAGGTATTTCATTTTGAAAAACATCTTACAAAACACTTACCAATATTGTTAAGGATTTCATCACCATGAAAAATATTGTATTCAATAATAACAAAATAACTTACGAGGTGCCATGTACCCAAGAGAATGGTGCCTGTGCGCACATGTAGACAGAAGCAACAGCGCCATTCGCTGTTACGCTCACTCCCTAATTTGGGACGAAATCTTAACATTTTGACCTGTGAAAAAAAAATATAGCAGTAAATATTATGATACTTATACATATTAAGAGAAGGTACTTTTTACTAAAGCTTTGTGTATAAATGATGAATGCTTTGAAATATGTTCAAAATGTACCTTAGATTGTGACAATGATTTATAATTAATGTTGTTTGTAATAATACAATCATAACTGGTATGAGTCAGCCAAATCAAGAATTCATTGCAAGTAATTAGGATGAATTATTAAATGTCTTTTTAACAGTTCCACTTTATTAATATTACCTACTCTATTAATATTGCCATAATTTTGATGCATTTTAAATCACTATTTAATGATCAAGTTGATTTACCAGTTTGCAAATTGAAGTATTTTTTTATAATTACTACTGTGACATAGCTAGGGTGGTCGACGATAAAATGGGGCTCACACTTGTGTACACATTTTACTGCTTATATTATTCCATGCATTTTAAATTTAACAGCACTTATTGCTTTTCTTTATTACAAGATATGAAAAGATAAGTATGTAGGTATTATGTAAACTAATAAAAGTGATAAACTGATAACATTACTCATTCCTGCTTCTGTTTTTGTTCTAATAAAAAAGTATTTTTATTACATTAATATTATTAAAATGTCACAAAATAATGTTTTTCCTTTATGTGCTATTTTAATCATTGTTTGACCTTGAAATGCATTATGATTCAAACAAGTTACTTGTATGTACTAAGTACAATGTTATTAAAAGTAGATATGTTATATGTAAATGTATTGCAACTAATTTGATGTGAATTGAGGGACACAAATTCTCTCTAGAATGGAACATACCAAAAGACTAAAGTTGGCACAAATAAATTGAGAACGAATGTGTTTATTATTTCATTTTTGTAATATTCACTGTGCCACCAAACTGATTTCACATAATAACATTATGACATTAGCATTTGACTTGTTCCATGTACATTTCTGGAGTTATTTCACCACATTCAGAAATAATGTTTTCCTTTCCTACATTGTAGTGTGATGTGACAAAACATTGTGCACCCCAAGGTGCTTCAACAGGGTGGAGTTAAACTTTCTGTCGCACCAAAATTAATAAATCGTGCCTGAACAACAACACTGATGTTGAAAAGGTTCTCTAAACATCGACATTATAATAAAGAAAATAAAAACACTGTGTTGTTATCGAGCTAGTCGGGGCATTCTTAGGTCTTCGAATATCGGGGCAATGAAATGATTTCATACTTCCAAATATTATTTTGCAGCGCATATGTTTATATACGTAACAAATCAGTATATGTTAATTAAATTATCCAATAACTATTCTACCTCTTTAATAACTAGTGTACTTGCCTGTTTTTATTGTGATTCTATAATTTCGTAAAATTTACCACAAACTCTTGAATAAAATTGCTAACACAAAATTATTAGAGGTATTTTCTCTTTCCAACTGTGGCCAATTCTTAATCATTCATTTTTACATCAATAGTTCAATTCAATAGACAATCTATTTGAACGACAAAGCAATGAATGAACATGAAGTCTTGTTCTAAGTTATAACATGTTTTGTTTTTGGGATCATATTAATTATTTTATCATTGAAAATAGCAAAAACTACATTCTACTAATTTAAAACTCACTTAAAACTACATAAGATTAAAAAATAGTAATTAATCGTCATTAATTATTACTTGTTTTTTGACTTAGCGACTCTAAGGTCTTCCATCTACAAAAAAGTAGCAACTCCGTACAAAATGTCTGACTGAGTCAACGTCAATAATAAAATGACAGCCAAATCAAAGCTGAAAGCTGCAGTCTGTCATCTAGACATATGAGGTAAATTCAGAAATAAAACATTTTCAAGTCATCTTTTGTTATATTTTGTTGTGTTTTAAAATTGTATTGATATTGCAGTTATAATGGAAAAGATTCCTGATCAGATTGGTTACTTGGTTTTAACAGAGGACGGGGCTGTCCTTGAATCTGGAGGTGAATTGGAAAACGACGAACGCGTTGCTACAATTATTACTGATCTTATTTCCTTATCGAATAAGTAAGTCCATTTTATACACTTACGTGTGATAATAACGAAACTATAATGAATCAGCACCACCATGTGGTCATTATTACGTGTTCAAATTTGTCTACTGCTTCAATTAAACTTACTTGTAAATATTTTAGGGTCGATCCAGTAGCATTTGGACCAAATGAACAGTTCAAGAAGATATCTATAACTTATGACGACCATTGGTTTGTGATTTGTTTGTCGAATAAGAAGATTTACGTTGTAAAGCGCAGCATACAACCAAATATAAGTGAAGGAAACGCAATTAATGTCTGAGAAGAACAAATAAATCACCATGGGACGAAACTTGTTAATGAGTAGCCTTGAGAATGCATCATTTAATATTATATTTCAAATTCTATTTAGATGTGTAACATTTGTGATAAATGCATGGGTCATTAGGAATGTTGGACATGAAGTTCTTGGTATTATGAATGTAAGGCTATTGCTCTTGGAGAGTACAATACTATTTCTCAGTCGGGAACCATTCAATAGAGCATGCCTTGGACAAAAAGACGAGTTTAGCTGGAGGCAACTTATCAACCAGATTTGGCTTTCTGTACCTGTAAGTTGTGTTCTGTCTATTGTTTTTGTATATATTTGGCTGAACTGGTTACCACTGGGCCACCCAGAACATGCCTTCCAATATACATTTGGTTGTTGGAGTGTGGCCTTATCATGTGTGTTAGAGTTGTGTTCTGCTAATGTTGCTTTGGTGGCACAACTTTTCTGTTTCATCAAATTAAAAGTTGCTCTTGATACTCTGCATATCTTTGTGAGAACTTTATTATTCTTGTCCATTGTTATATATGACAGGTCCCTTGCTCTAATTGCATTTTCAGTGGCACAAGTAGGCAGCATAGGAGCTATAGTAGTTAGTTACTACATATTCTTTTATTGGTACATCAAAAATAAGCCACTGTATGGAAAAGGAGCTTTAAAAAGTAAAGTAGTACCTGAAGCAGTTTTGCACAGGCTCTATGATAATATGGATGATTTTCAATTTACATCAATATTAGACTTCTTGCCAAAGTATAGTGGATCAGTAAATGCAATGTTTAGTAAAAAGTTAAGTACACTGACACTTAGTTTTGCTAAGCAGGGTGTTGTTAAACAACTGTTGACAGAAGGAGAGAAATATGTGATGTCAGTGAGTCCTGTAATGAGCTTTAGTGAGCAGGCCACTTATGATGTAGTTAACAACTTGGGTAGTCTGGCAGCAAGATTTGTTTTCAGACCTATTGAAGACAGCAGCTACTTTTATTTCACCCAAATGGTAAGCAGAGAGCTGCCTCTTCACAAGCAAGATCAAAATAAAATTCAAGAATCATGCACAGTATTGTCACAAGTATGCAAAACTGTCAGTTCTATTGGTTTAATAGTCTTAGTATTTGGACAAAGTTATGCTAGAACACTACTGTTGTTGTATGGTGGGGAGTCATTTGTTGCAAGTGGTTTGCCAGTTCAGTTACTTAGAAGTCATTGCTTGGCTATAGTTTTGTTAGCAGTAAATGGAGTTACTGAATGTTATGCATTTGCTACAATGACAAGCACACAGTTGAACAGTTATAATTATTTAATGGTACTATTTTCGATAAGTTTTCTTTTATTGTCATATGTTTTAACTTATGTCTTCGGACCAGTAGGTTTTATTATATCAAATTGTATTAATATGTTTGCTAGGATAGTTCATAGTGTTCACTTTATCAGTAACAAATATAAAGGTACAGATTATAAGCCATTAGAAGGTCTCTATGTTGGTAAATTCTTTTTGTTGACTTTATTCATAGCAGGCTGTGTTTGTAAATTGTCAGAAAATAAAATATCTCGAGATTCTATAATCCTACACATATCTATTGGAGCTGTATCATTACTTTTTGTTCTACTTGCGTGGGCATATGAAAATAGAGACCTAGTTATTAGAGTGTATAAGAAGTTTTGGAAAAAAGAAGACAAAGTTTCTCTTGATTAGCATTCAATTACTGTTAAGTTATAATGAGTATTCATTACCAAGTGTTAAATGTAACATAAATAATATTTACGAAATAATTATAGACATGTTATAATATAATACCATATTTGTTTTATTTTAACAACACAGTGATATATTAATTTGTAGTCTATTGATTATTACATTATTACAATGTTACCATCATGGATTATTATCTACTTGTTTTATTATAAATATACTCATGTCCTATGCTGTTGCCAGACAATCCAGATAATGTATGATTCATTCACTATTGGTTTAAAATTATTATGTTACATTGGATAAAAAAATATTCCTTTCATTTGGGTTTCACATATCCGCCTTACTTCATCTGTAAACAAAAATATAACATAGTTCAACAATACAAGTTGTAAAAAACATCGCCTATGTCATGAGTATGCGTGCTATAATTTCCTCAATGATTCTGAAATTGTCATTATAATAATTAAGACTTAGGAAACAAGATATGTTATTCATATCAAAAATAATAGCACTATAGAAAAAAACTATCAATTTGAAAATACTTATTTTTAGGTAAAAATGTCCACATTGGAAAGGTTGCCTTTACCGCATGTCGTTTTTTGGAATACTAGCGACCCGCCCCGGTTTCGCACGGGTGCAGTATGCATGTATTATAAAACGTCCTTAGAAATCACACTATCTTTAAAAAAAACTGCATTAAAATCCGTTGCATAGTTTTAAAGATCTAAATAAACATAGGGGCAGACAGACGGCGGAGAGCGACTTTGTTTTATACTATGTAGTGATAATATTATTGAACATACCTGCTATTTCTTTAAGATTGGCATTTTTTTCTTGGATAATTACATAGAATTCTCTGTCATTAGAAGACTTTCCTGTAATCCAGTATTCATCTGGGGTTTTAATAATAATTTCTCCATAGTTTCCAAGGCTAGAAAGCAAACAGATAATAAAGAAATAATATAAAAATAAACAAATTAAAAAACTCCACAACAAAGTTTTTGATTTATGCTAGTGAGGTACAAAGCCCTTTAGTTCAATCGGTGTTAATTCACAAAATACATAAGCAAACAATTTTTAGCAGATAAAATGTTAGTGAAATATAAACATAGTACATACCTTTTTTTATCAGTGTGTATATCTGCTATAATACTTAGGACTTCAGGCTTTACAGCAGTAGAAGGGTGCAGTTTGCTCACAGATGGCTGTAAAAGAAATTCGAATATGATTATTGCTATTTATTACTTGTAAAGAATCAGTGGCTGTATGATATAAAACAAAAAAAAAAAAGTTATAAAACTTACAGAAGTTTTAAAAGCGAGATTCAGCCTATTGAAGTACACAAACTTGTGTTCTGATAAAAGCTGTGCTGTTTGCAGGGCATGTATTGTGCATTGTTCACCAATAGTCGAGGCTATCGTTGACAGCTGGGGTCCAATAAAAGCGTCTAACGATCTCAACATCTCTGGCTGTACTTCAACATGGACTATAAACAATAAAGATACATTTTGACTTATTCAGTAAGATTTTGTATCACAAAAAAATATCACTTTCTAAAATACAAACCATCAACAGTCAAACAGATAGTGGCACTCATAGTTCTGTAAACAACTAAATAATACTGCTTTGCCTCTGAATCCTCCTCTCGCTTCAGATAAACTTTCATTAGTTTCTCTTCCTGGTTCCCTTCAGGAGGATGGATGAATCGACCATGTCTCTGGGCAGCAGCTACAGCACCTCCATGGATTTCCTTTTCCACTTCCTTGGGTAGTAAGGACTGTACCAAATATTGGTATAAGGTTAACATGTCATCTGTATCCAACCCGTTCCTGTGAATAAATAGAGAATACAAGCTGACCTAAGGCTAATATAAATAAATTGCCTAGTGTAAAATTGCATATTTGGAACTTACCAAATGAGTTGCTCATTGTAGATAAATGAAATACATTTGAAATGTGGATAATTAACTTCTAATAAGTCAATGAAGCATAAAACTTTGAAGAATGCATTCTTGTCTAGAGGCAAATAGTTGATGCCCTGAATGACGTCTGCCACATCATTGGATATATTTCTAGACAATATGTACTGGAAAAGGCGTAATTTTGATATAAATATGTAAAAATATCATACATTCAAAATGAACAAGAAATAAGTATATTACCGGTGTGAAGAACTGGTCACAAACTGAATATATTTCTTCTACTGTAAAGTTTTTGAACAATCCTCTGAACATTCTGAACATTTTATAAGATGACTTTAGTAGATCAAACATCACAGATGGGATTACCTGCAACATAAGAGAATACATTTATACTAACTACTTTGGTAATAAATTGAGGGAGGTTATGATTCTAGATTTATGCTAGTATGTACAGGGATCTTCAATCTTATTTTGATCAGCCTGAGGATCAAATCCTAGATCCACTATTCACCAGGCACAATTTGTAAAATGAACAAACTTAGACTTAATTAGGTATACCTTTAGGATTCTGTAAAATATTTACAAATTATGTTATGATTTGTAAAAAAATTAAACAGTTAATTGGTGATAAGTGGATGTGGGGGATAAAATAAAAGGTATGTAAGATACCTTGTTATGTTACTTACAAAATCAGTTCCTTTACTTTCTCCAATAGCTGACAATGCTTTTGTTGTGTATGGAATTCTGACAACCTGAAAAAGGGACAAACTATTATGCAACATCAATACAATCTTTACAAAGTAGAAGGGGTTGTTTTGTAAAATATAGCAGTCAACATAGTTTATAAATAAAGATAAAAATAGAAATACAAGGAATTTGTATTATTACCAGAACCATCCAATATCCTTTTTCTGGTTGATAGAAAATGTATTTTTTTGTCTGTGTTCGTAACGCTTCACATGGCTTCGGCGAGAATGTACTGCAAAATAAATCCAGATTGATTAGGAGATTACATTTTTTGTTAACTGCTGTATTGTAAACACCCCATACTTTACAAATTGAGTTCCTCATATTTTAATCCAACTATTTTGTTAGTTATTAAAGCAGTACTTACGACATGAATTTAATAACCGCTTCACATAATCCAACTTGCATTTTCTGTGTATCTGCACTGGTTTGACTAGGGTAAAAGTATAATATCCTTTGTAGCTCCTGGAAATCCATAAGTTTTGTTTTAGCTATCTAGATCTATTGAGTAATTTGGTCCATGTGACCATATACATTTCGGGTAGGTATAAAACGTGCCAAAATATCAGTTAAAAAGATAGTAAGCAACATAATAAATAAAAAATAAAAGAAACAGTTTCTTCCAAAGTAAATAAACTTACTTCGCCTTCCCGTGGTCCAAAACTAGAGTTGAAAATAAAAAAGGAACTAATTTTAGCTTTAACATCAATCATTGTGAAGAGTTTAGAGTTTATTTATAGAAAAAATATCAATTTGTCTTTAAATTCCAAAATAAATATTGAATTTATTGAAAGTGACAACCTGCTGTCCTGCTGTCACTATCCATTCATCGAATTTTTGACATTTGATTGACTACAGATAATAACTTTCACGTTTTGTTCATTCGTTTGCAATGATGTAGTACTATTTACGATTTTTAAATTTCATTAAATATTACATTTATTTTTAATATTTACATACATTAAATATTGCGGTTATTATAATATGAACATAAGTCAGAAACAGGATAATATTAGGTGCACCCATGGGTATACACAATTCCACATGTACTCTGTACATCAAGGGTTGCTATAGTATCGATAGTTGTTTAATAAAATTTGAAAAATATTTTGATTTTGAAGCATATGTACCTAGTTTTTTATATAAATACGTTCAAATCGTTTTCAATTAAGCTCTGAGATCTCTTTTAATCTAGAATCATGTCGATTCGTAATCCAAGACTACCGCTTTTGCCTGGTTATGGCACAAATCCTATGGTAAGTAAATTATATCATTCTTATTATATTATATATTACAGAAATTATTCATATAAATATATATTTCAATAATTATATATTTCTGTTATAGATAGGGAAAAAGAGCTTTGGAGTTCGTCCAATTTTTACAACTATCGGTAATGTGAACATGTTGATTGATAAACAAGAAGGTGGAAATAGGGTTCCGTCATTATACTGCCGGAAGCAAGCTCCAGACCTTCCAACATGGATCATGTATGACAAGCATGTAAGTGTTGATACTAAAAAATTTGTTTGTATGTTCGATGTGCGTACTGGTCTACAGTGAAATCCGGAAATAAATATATCCACTTTGTTAACGATTCCACTTTGTTCACGACATCTTGCCTTTACATAGATACTGCGATTCCAAGCTTTCTTTCAACAAACATTGCATGAAAACCGTTCAGGGTCTCATATACTTCGGAAGGTGAACATCTTATTTTATCTCGAGGATGGTACGATTAAGGTGATGGAGCCGAAGACTGAAAATAGTGGACTGACACAAGGCGGGTATTTTAATAGCTTTCACATAATTCATAATACGTCACATCTTTTAATCCCTGACAAAAAGGGCGTGAGTGCACATAACCTTTTGTACTGATTACAGTACGTATTCTGAGCACTGTAACATATGGCGCACTTTTTTGTTAATAATAGAGATGGAGCATGGATGGAGCATAATTATCATTGATATTCACTAAGCACAGATTTATTTAACTTTATTCCAAGATAAAATAAAAAATTTACAACATTCAAATAATATAGTCTACTCGGGAATCGAACCTGAGAGCTCTCGACCGGTAATTCCACTTTTAATCACGAAAAAGATTAGTAAAATGACAGCATTTGTACAAATAATAATAAAATTGATATATCTGACTATTTGTTTTCATAGGAACATTGATCAGTCGTCAAAGGATTCGTCTTCCGTACAGCTACGACTTATATTACGACGTATTGGATTTGAATATTGGGCTGGAAGTTTCATTTCATGGAAAAGTTTTCAAGGTATATAACAAAAAAAAAACTATGTACTTACCATATGAGACACTGTGTGTTTAAAACATCTTGTTAATCAACCATGATTTCTGCTATAGATCGTAAACTGTGACAACTTCACACGGGTGTTCTTGAATCGCCTTGGCGTCAACGTA